ATTCTAAGTCAAGCATACATATTTCCTTAAGGGAGCTTTACGCAAGTAGCCGGCTAGATTCACTGTTTAATTTTTCTAATAAATATACGTAGATTATACATTGATTATATATATATATATATATATATATTAAAAGCACGAAGTCCCTTAGCAAAATGTCGTTCGCCTTTTTTACCCTTTGAAAATAGATTTTATATTGGAAAAAATTGTTTTTTAATTATTTTTATAATATTTATGTAACACCCCGGAAAATTTCAAAGTGTTTTAAGACCATTAAGAGATTAGCGGGTGCTAATTATATTAATTTGGGTATGAACAAGACTGATAATTTGAATGATATCAATTGATCATGATAATATATGTATGAGGTACATTAAGAATGGTTTATGGTCTAAGAAGAGCCCTGAGGCTAAGTCAAGTTGAAAATTATATGATGGGATAAAGTTTCAAGTGAGTTCGCAAAAGACCTAATTTCAAACGAGTATAACTATCAAGATATGAAGAGTTATGTGGTGCGCAACCTATCAAATTAAATCTATTTCGGTCTAGTTTCCAACTCAGCAAACCGTTCATCATTTGGATATGTATATAGACAGTTATGGCCATTTTACTGGACCTGTGTCATATGCGCGTCCAGATGTGCGACAACGCATATTTTAGACTTTCTAACTCAGGTGCGCGACCGAATGTGCAACCACTTGCCCAGGTGTGCGGCCGCGCACATAGGAGCTCATTTAATACCCCCAAGGCCGGGTAGGGAGAGGGGTTAAGTCATTTTTGAGCTAAAACCTGATATTTTAGAGAGATGTAAGAGCTTTTAGAGCGAGAAGGATTAAACTTAACATTCTAATCATCCAATCTTGCACCAATCTCCAAGAATCAAGGAAGCTAATCATAAGATCTTCGTCAAAGAGGTAAGGTTCCATACCCTAATTTTCAATTTCAGAATTTGGATTAAAAGTAGGTCATAAGAAGTATGATTCTTGGGTGTGAGAATATTATGTATACATGTATGGATTTATTATGGAAATATGAGTATGAATCAAGTATTGGAACTCATGGTATAGTGATTGGAAGGCATAAATTCTCAATTTAAATGAATACCCATTGTAGAAATTGAAAGGTAATTATTTGATGGAATTTTGTTGGTTGGGTGAGAATGGTTGGTCACACATATGATGTTAGGATTATAAGTTGTTAAAGAATGAAGGTGGGATGAATTGTTGGTAAAAGATGGTAGTTGGAAGAACGAATTCTATGGTTAAGAAATGTATAAATGGATGCCTACTAGGTGTTTGATAAAATGCCTAATTGACCAAATCTGGAAATTTGTTTACTAATATTGGTCCAATTAAATGATGTTGATATAGATTGAAGTTGTAAGAGTAGTGGGAGTTTTTAATATCACTAAAGAGTTGAATGAAGAAAGCTTGATTTGTGGCGATCTTATTATCGAGGGATTTTCAAGGAAATCATCAGGATTTGAGCCGTTCGGAGGTTGATACGCGCGGAATGAAATTTTCGGAGCATTGATTAGTTTGTTGAGGTAAATAACTCTTCTAATCTTGGAGCTGAGGGTATGAACCCTGAATTATATGTGTAATGTGTTTGGTGTTGAGGTGACGCACATGCTTGGTGACGGGAGTGTGGGCGTGCACCGTGTGAACTGTAACTCCGTTATTCCTGTGGTACTGTGTAGTTACCTGAACTTATTTGAAATCATGAAAATCTCTACGTACTAGTGCTATTGAGTTGAAAATGATGTTAAAATTATGCCGAGGCTAGATGCTAGTATTATTGAGACCCACAGAGATCATATTGTTGTTGAATTTGTTTAAAATAAAATTTGAACCTCAGCCATATTCATTCATTTCATATCATCTCTCAGTCTCTATTGCTATTTATTGATTCATCATATCATCATTTTGGGCTGATTGTTCATGACATTGTGAGCCCGAGAGACTGGAGATATTGATGACTGAGTGAGGCCGAAAGCCTGATGGTGAGGATATTTATGGGATCGGGCTGCGCGTCGTAGCATGTTTTATTGATTTATGCCATGATTGACTTTTTATAGCGCTTGGGCTGAAGGAGCCCCTTCAGAGTCTGTACACACCCCCAGCGAGCGCAGGTACCTACTGAGTGCGAGTGCCGAGCGATTTGGGAGGATTGAGTGACTGTGAGGCATGAGTGACTGTGAGGATTGAGTGATTGGGAGGACTGAGTTATTAAGAGGATTGAGTGACTGGGAGGACTGAGTGAATTGATACTCTGAGAGTATGCATATGGTTTTATCACTATGTTGTATTGCATTGGCATACACATTGACATGTAGGCATAGAGATGTATTTTTCTCATGCCATTTGAAAATAAAATATCCTATTGTGGAAGAAAGTTTTTGGAAAAAATCACAGTTTTCAAACTTACTCATATTTTGGTGATTTCAGTGAAAAGAATTGAGTTTTACTATTATACTTGAAAAGAAAATATTTATTTTCCGGAAACTTTGAACGAGCTGAGCTTTTTATTATTGAGTTATTCTTTGTGTTGCCTTAATTTTATTTTTATGAGATGTTACTAGATATTGGTGTGGATCCTGAACTTTGTTCTTGCTCGTCACTACTTTCAATCTAAGGTTAGGTTTGTTACTTATTGAGTACACGGGGTAGGTTGTACTCATACTACACTTCTGCACCTTGCGTGCATATTTTGGAAGTTGATGCTGCTACACATGGCGGAAGCTGGATCTGAAGACGTACCGGTATTCCAGTCATTGCTGCCTCTTGTTCATGGTAGCCTTAAATTTATAAAAATCTGTTTATGTACATTTCGAACAGATGCTGTATTTATTTCATACCAGTTTTGTAATTTTCAATCATAGAAGCTCATGATTTGTACTACCAGTCCTTGGAAAATGTATAGGATTCAGATAATTTCTTTTACTTAATTGTCTTGTTAAATATTATTGGAAATGGTTAGTTGCTAATTGGCTTACCTAGCGAGTTGGGTTAGGTGCCATCACGACTAGTCGGATTTTGGGTCTTGACAATTTAGGACTCTTAAATCAATTAAAGTTTTGCTTACTAAATCTTTCCTTATTTGAACTATTATTTTGGAAATCTATTATTTAGAACTTTAAAATTGATTAAATCTTAACCTTATATAAATCCTTTCCGTACATCAATCCTTCCGTTCTAACTTTTTAAATTTTTCGGCAGTTTCATTCATCCTTTGAGATTTAAATGATAGCAAATCATTGTGTTCTCAATTAGATAACTAAAATAGATATATTATAATATTATATTTTATTATAAGATTATAACTTCGAACAAATAGAAACTTTCGTACCCTTAAATTTGTATTCTTTTTTTGTAATTAAAAATTTTATTACCACTTGAAAATATTTACATGTATAAACAAAACTCCTAAGTTTGGACAGAAGGCCCCAAACTCAGTACAAAGATAACTCATTCTATTTATATCTTCATTCATGCAATGGGTAAAAATTTAAGTATTGCATTTCCTTTCTCATTCGTATATGCATATAGCCTCTATAATGTACTTCTTGAATTACTTGTCTTGTGATATCTCCACTACTTCTCCTCTCTTGTTGAAAGATTCTGCGATTCCTTTCTATACACAAATGATACACTGCTCCTGCCACACTAATTCTATAAACCTTAGCTTTTGATCCCTTACCAGTTACATATTTTGTGGCCCACTCAACTTCTTCCTCCCAACCATATACCTGCCTTGCGATCCCCTGCCATGCTAGTAATTTCCCCCATATGTATGTTGAGTATTTACAAGTAAAGAAGAGATGTTGATGATCCTCCATCCCCTGATCACACAAGGGACATGTTTGGTTTACTTGTATCCCCCATTTACTTAATCTGTCTTTGGTATATAATCTTTCCTGAATTGCTAGGTGGAATTTGAATATTTATTTCGGGCAGCCTTTGTTATTACAGATCAATTTTCTCCGGCTTGCTTTTGGGAACTCCCCTCATAATTGGTTATAGATGGTTCTGATGGTGTATGTTCCTGCTGTTAGAACCTTTTCCTTCTCCAAACCAGCCTCATCCAGATATTTTGCAGCATGTAATATCTTTTGTACTATCCATGAGGCTTGCTTCGCTTCCACTGTCCAAGGAACCCTCCCTTTTATATAGTATACATGCACCTATTGTATCCACAATTTATCCTTCTTTTTGCATACATTCCATAAGTGTTTCAGCAAGGCAGCTTTGTTCCACACACTCATATCAGTGATGTTGAGTCCCCCTGTTGATTTTGGTCTGCACAATTTGTCCCACGCCACAAGAGCTTTCTTACTTGCATTTGTATCCCCTGTCCAAAGAAACTTTCTACATATGGATTCAATAGATTGAATGACTTTCTTTGGTAAAGGAAAGATCTGCGACCAAAAGGATTGTATTGAAATCAATACACTCTTTATCAATTGTAATCTCCCTGCATAGCTCAAAAACTTCACAATCCATTATTTCACTCTCCCCAGCATTTTATCCAATAGAGGCTGACATTGACTAACTGATAGTCTTTTTGAACTCAAAGGCACTCCAAGGTATCAAAAGGGTAGTTCACTTATTGTAAAACTAATTTTCTAGAGGATCTCTTGTTGTGCATCTACTGATACTCCACCAAAGTACACACAACTTTTGTTTTGGTTTGCAACAAGTCCTGAAGCTTTTGAGAAATTCTGTAAGCATTTATACAACAGCTGTATAGATATCACATCTCCTCAACATAACAAGAGCAGATCATCTGCAAAACTGAGCTGAATGATACTCAATTTTTCACACCTAGGGTGATAGTTAAAATCTGGCTGCTCTTTCAGTTTTTTCAGTATCCTTGTCAAGTATTCTATTGCTAAAACAAAAAGTAGTGGAGACATTGGGTCACCTTGTCTCACTCCTCTCTTAGCTGCAAATGGTTCATTTGTCTTCCATTAATAGTTATGGAATATGACACTGTTCTAATGCACTCCATGATCCACCCTATAAACTCTTTAGGGAAGTATAAGCCTATAAGTACTTGTTCCAGGAATACCCATTCAAGGGAGTCATACGCTTTCTGCATGTCGATCTTGATCATACATCTAGGCGAGATCCTTTTCCTACCATAACCCTTTACCAACTCATGGCTGAGTAGGATGTTATCTGTCAAAACTCTACCGGGGACAAAATCTGCTTGGCTATCATCTACCAAAGTATCCGTCACTTGCATCAATCTACTTGTTAACATCTTGAAAATAATCTTGTATAGTATGGTACAACAAGAGATTGGCTTGTATTCCCTGATCGAAGCTGGATTCTTAACTTTGGGGATTAAAGTAACTGTTGTAGTGTTTATTGGCTTATACATCTTTCCTGTACTAAAGAAGTCCAGTACTGCTTTTACAATCTCTTCACCAGTGATATGCCATGCTTTTTTTAAAGAAATATGCATTGAAACCATCCCCTCTAGGTGCTTTTATGTCATCAATCCCTTTCAGGGCTTTAATTACATCCTCTTTTGTAAAAGGAGTAACAAGTTGTAGCTGATGGCTTTGAGTAAGAACTGTTCCATTCTTTATCCATCCAGGGTGAATAGCAGGTACATTTTGACTTGCATTTCCTAGTAGCTGTTTGTAAAACCCAATTACTTCATCTTAAATACTTTTTGGATTTGTAAGCACATTTTCATTACTATCTATGAGCTTAGTTATCTGATTATGCACCTTTCTCCTCTTCATGCTAGCAATGAAATATGCACTATTTGTATCCCCCAATTGCAGCCATTGTACTTTGGATTTATGTTTATAAATTGATTCTTCAATCTTATCTCATTTCTCAAATTCTAATAGGAGGTTGTTTTCCTCTTTAAACATACTATTTGGGGTATTGTAATTCCTCATTCTCCCTTGTGTATCTTTCAGTTTCTCTCTGATGAAGCTAATCTTCTCAGTTATATTCATAAATTCCGTCCTATTCAAATTCTTCAAAGCTGATTTTACAGTTTTCAAATTCTGCCATATAGCTACCATATTTCCTTCATGTAAAGACCAATTAGCCTCTACTATATTCCAAAAATCAGGATGATCTGCCATACAATTGTACAATTTACAAGGCCGCTTCTTTTTATCACAGTTTCCCTCAACCTCTATACCCATTGGAGAATGATCAGAGAACAATAAGTCCATCACATGAACTTGTAGAGGATGCATAGTAATCATCCGGTGGTCATTCACAATTGCCCTGTCTATTCTACTAAAAATATGACTATTTGTCCATGTATATGATTTACCAACAGTTGGTAATTCTGTCAAACTACAATCTTCCATCTAAGCTCTAAAGTCCTTAGTTTCATGATCCTGCACTTCTCTGCCATGAACTCTATCTTCAGCCCCCAAAACTGCATTGAAATCCCCATTATCAACCAAGGTCCCATAATTTGGCCCTCCATGTCCCTAAGCATATCCCATAAAGGTTTCCTGTCTTGAACAATATGCAGTCCATAGACTGCTGAGAAGTGAAACTCCTTGGTGATGTGATGAACTTCAACATGTCCATGGATAATCTGAGCAGACCTCTCCATGACTGTAAAACTTATAACATTTGGATTGCAAAATACCCATATCCTACCCTTGCACGAAGTTGACACATTATGACACCAATTCCACCCCGGCATAATTTTCCCTAGAGTTTGAGGAACTTTTGTATCATGAACTCGGTGCTTACTTATTGATATCATAGTCACCTTATTTTCCTTCAAAAACACCCATAACTCCTTGTGCTTAAACACCTTATTAAAACCCCTTACATTCCATGTCACTATCATTCTGATACTTTAGAATGATTTTGTGGTAACACTTCTGTCTCAACCACTCTACTTGAACTACATTCTACCATTTCAATTCCTTTGAAGCTTTGTTCTTGACCTGCTTCAACTAAAGTATTAAAACCATTAAGAACTTTTATATGCTGTCCAGATGTTGGTATTTTTTTTCCCTTTTACTGCTGATTTACTCTTCACTTGTTGCCATACATCCCCAGCTTCCATAATTTGATTTTGTATACTGTGGTTCTCAGCATTCTTATCTGGCATCTCCCTTTGAGCTAGGTTCTGTAATTTACCTTCAACATTAATAGGCTTCCATTTTGTCCTCTGTTTTGGGGCTTTCATGTGCTGTTGCTGGCCTATCTTGTTCTCCACCATTGCTGCTTGGGGCTGTTGTTTTTGGCAATTATGATCAATTTGCATACACCTTGCACAATATGTGGGTTTCCAGTCATACCATATTTCCTGCTCAATCATTCTTCCTTTTGGATCTTTTATTTTGATGACATTTGGAAGCTCTCTGGTTACATCAATCTCTACAAGAATTCGTGCATATGAAATCCTATTTGCATTTGACGTACAAGCATCAACATATATGGGTTGACCCAAACCACTCCCAATTTTACTTAATGCATTTGCACTCCAACAACTCAATGAGAGATTAGGCAGTTTTACCCATATTGGAATTGTCTTTAGGTCTTCAACATCAAAATTGAAATCTGCAGTCCAAGCCTTGATAATTACTGGTCGATTTCTCAATATATGAGGTCCTGAGTACATCATCAAATTCCTCTCTTCCAAACATGAAAAATTAATCACAAAATACCCAACATTGTGATAATATACTTTTGGTTTTGCTGTAAACTCCCCTTGTGCCGCTACGAACCTCTCCATAGCCCCAATTGTAGCTGAGCCACCAACAACATATGCTATTGCAGCATATTTTCATTTTTCAATCTCACTGTCAATATTCTCTTGTACCAATTCCACAATCGTCTCTCCCTCAACAATCGCAGGAGGTATAAAAGTCAGATCCATACCTCTTGCTGCCATTTTGTTCTCCTCAAATAGCGTCGACCATGCCTTTCCTCCTGGTTGTCCTGGTTCCAGTTGTAGCATACATTGTGCTCCCCCAATGTGAGTTACTGTTTCATTGGCTTTGTCACTTTGAGCTGGCTTCAATTGTGGATCTATCCCTTTAATCTGCATCTGCCCTATTTTTTTGAGCTCAAATCAGTCTGCATGTGTACCGGAGTTATCCATGTAGGTGCTGGGGTTCTGGTACCTTCACTTCGCGAAGGAAGGGTTGGCCAAATCTCCGAATTATTTGTTGTATGTTCCTTTCTCTGGGTGCTTGTTGGTTCCTCAGTCATTTTCCTTGGGTTAGTGATGGAATTGCTCCCACTTACCCTCGTCTTTGTCGATAAACTAGCAATATTGCCTCCAGTCGCTAGGGTTTTTGGTGTTACCTCCGAATTACGTAGTGTTTCTAAGTTTCTTCCCTCCATGAAATTGTTGTCTTCCTCTATCAATTATTTTGTAGCTTTTGACGGTTGACCTCGTGCGCTCCCCATTTACGGTGAGCGCAAGTTAGCACTTCGCGCTAAACATGCACCGAGAGAGAAAGGAAGGACCAAGGAGGTAATATTTTCTTTTAATTTGTATTCTTAAATCTTAACTCAACAATTTTCTTTAGTTTCTATTTCTTAACTCAATAATTCTTTAGGATGTGTATTGGTTAAAATTTTAATATTGTTGGGTACAAATTTTGTAGTGATTGATGCAAGATTTACGAGAATATTTTACTCGTTAAAAATGTATTACACATTAGATAAATTTTTTATTTAATTATAATCTTGATATAGAGCACTTTGAAGTTAACTAAAATTTTGGATATTAAGTATTTTCGGTAGTAACTCCTAACATTTAATTAAGAATTTAAAATCGAATAAGCTTTACTTATATAACTTTTCTTACTTGAATTGAAAAAGTAACTATAACCCTTAATCTAATTCATACGCAAAGAAGAAAACTGAAAATTCAAATTCAATCCACTATTATCAAGATCTAATGATCTGAATTGATATCATTATGAAAAGTGCCTCGTGAATAAAATTGACCTCAACTTACTGATACCTCCAAAAATTGGTTGGTGAAATTGTTGATTGAAATAAATATACAAAGACTGACATTGTTAAAGCAAGGATCTGGTCTTCGTTATGATGCTATTACAGGATATCATCCAGTAACTATCAGTTTGGTTTAGGCATTTCAAGTTTATTAAGGATACATCCAAGTTTTGTAAGAGTATTGAAGAATAAGAATCTATATCTATTTTAATAGCACAATTTACCGCAACTCACTGATGTCGTTAATTATTGAACTATATGCATGGCGGTGGGAGAGTATAACTACTAGCTCATGACGTTTTTGACACGAATATAGATATATGTTAAAATTTACTAGAATTTTAATAAATATTAAACTTGAACTCAAAATTTTAAAAGTATAATAAATTCAATAATAACAACCTTAAGGTTGCACCCGTCAAATTATAGTTCAGTATAATTTTATATGGATCGACTTTTGGCAATATGCTTTGACACGGTTCATGTACTCCAGGTTTACTGGTCATGTCTAATAATAAGGTATCAAAAGACTTTCGTGGGGCAAGAATTCTTTTTTTTATAAAATTAGCTAAATATGATAGGTCAATATTAATAACTCTTGCACTTTTTTCTTTAATTTATTATTCTTATAGAGCATTTTTACTAATGTTTATGTTATTTCTTAGAGTTTTATATTCAATTATATGGGGTACACGCACATCGCGCGTACTCTAAGACTAGCTATATTAAAAGCACGAAGGTCTTTAGAGAAATGTCGTCCGCCTTTTTTACCCTTGAAAAATAAATTTCACACTAGACAAAATAGTAATTTTATTATTTTCCTAATATTTAGACAAAATTATTAACTGAGTTTTATGTATTAAAATTTTCCTTATTTAGACTATGTAATACTCCAAATTTGTAAAAGTCATTCATATGTAATTGGAACAAAATCACTCCTATTTCTAATCATGGAAACAAACAAGATCCTACTTATATTAGAAAAGCACATATACAAAAGAATGACCGAGAATGAGTTTTGCTACAACTCTATTGCCTTCTCAATCGTTTTGCTTTATTGACATTATATTGGTTTGATTCATGGTTTGATATCATGTGATATTTGAAGCTTTGGTTAATGGGTTATGTAGTCTTTGATTCATTGCGTTTCTTATGTGATATCTAGAATTATGCTATATGTTGTTATACCTTATATTTATGGCTCTGATCGATGTAGCATTGTGATGACCCGATAGGTCATCTTTAAATTTAATAATTATTTATATATTCTAAAACCTCAAATAGCACTATTCATTATCCCTCAACTTGTGTGTGCAGTCCGTATAATTTTTCGAAAAGTTTTTACGTTAAAAATCGATTAAAATGTTAAATAGAGCTTTAAAACTCAATTGGGTTGAGTTTGGTCAATATTTTGAGTAAACGGACCCGGATTAGTATTTTAATAGTCCCGGTAGGTCCGTATCGTGATTTGGGACTTGGGCATATGCCCGAAATTGAATTCGAAGGTCCCTAGCTCGAGTTATCCCATGTTATCGAAATTTTTAAGTTTAAAGGTTTAATGACTTAAGAGATTTGACTAATGTTTGACTTTGTTGATACCTGGTCCGTATTTTGGTTTCGCAATCCGGTATAGCTAATTTATGACTTGTCTGCCAAATTTGGTGAGAAAAGGAGCTAGTTTGGCCTGATTCGAACGTCCGGTTGTTAAAATAGAAATTCTAAAATCTTCTTACAAATTTCATTTGATTTGGAGTCCGATTTGTAGTTCTAGGCATTATTTTGGTGTTTTGATCATGCAATCAAGTTCGTATGATATTTTTGGACATGTGTACATGTACGGTTTAGAGCCCCGAGGGCTCGGGTGAGTTTCAGATAGCCTACGATCGTTTTGAACTTTCGAAAAATCTGGTTTTTGAGCTTCAACTGTCATCTGGTGCATGGTGCTTCGCGATCGCGAAACCATTCCCGCGATCTCGAAGAGGAAATTGTGAGCCATGATTTTTACCCTTCGCGTTCGCGAAGATAGGCACGCGATCGCGGAAGGTTAGCTCTCAGTTCACCGCGAACGCGTAGAGTTGATTGCGTCCGCGAAGAGGAAATGAGGCACAAGATGGGGCACTCAAATTTGTTCTTCGCGTTCGCATGAAGCGGTCCGTGATCGCAAAGTCTGCGGGGTTATGCTTCGCGTTCGCGTATGGGATGTCGCGTTCGCGTAATGGAAATTGGCAGCCTGTGCAATTTGTGCTTCGCGATCGCG